ATAATTATACCCTAAAAGATGTTTGCTTCTTTCTTTTATATTCTTCAGGACAAAATAAGGAAAACTGTCGAAATTCAAACACGTCATTTACACCCCTGCCCAAAGAAAAAGCAGATTTTCAATTAAGGGGACGACTTGAGCCTAATGGTTTATGTTTTTTTTCTTTCTTATTCTGCCCTTTTTCTTACCATTTTTTTAATCATTTCTCTTTTCTGCTTTTCTTTAATCAGATTTTTGGATAATGGAACCTGTAGGTTTGTTTCAGTAATGTAATAATTAAAAAATATTTCAAAAAGAGCAAATATCAGTGAATTTTTGACAATAACACACACAATATGAAAAAAATATTTTAAACTTTTAGCGTAAGTTGACATTACAAGCATAAATAATTGCACAATTCAAGCACAATTGCAATGTTCTTTTAAATGACATTATTTAGTGTAACAATCGTATTTTAAATTACAATCTAGGGTGCCATGGCTGTGGCAAAAACACAAATTTTTAATCAAGGAGCCTTTGTAAAATAGGTTTTATCGTCTAATGTTTTTCATATCTTGTCCTGGAAGTCCGGTTATATATATATATATATATATATATATATATATATATATATATATATATATATATATATTATTATAGATGCCCAAATCGTAATTTTAATGATATCGCAATTTTTTCGAAACTTCTTTCATATCTCATAATTTTATAATTATATTTATTACCTAACCTAACCTACGAGTATACTTATCATCTTGAATAAGCATCGGTAAAATCTTGAATTGAACATTTTTAAAGTATAAATTCTGGTCATAAGTTAACGAAAGTCGATATATTTATTCCATCTAATATTTGATTTTGGTTTGGTTTGGCCTAGCCCTCCGGTGTGTGTGGTGTCAAATTTTACATTTTTATTTTTGGCACAATTTTTAAATTCATTATTGCCAACCATGGCAACATATTCGTCGCCGAGCTGACTAACGGGAATTTTAATTTACCCCTCGAAATTCCGGTGGTAGCTCTGCTGTAAAAACCATCAAGTTGCCACATATAATTATTTTAGTTTTTGACATTGTCATTCGTTTTGACACTTTAGTTTTGTATTACGAGTTTTTGGTTTAAATGAATTGTGTTGTGATATTTTAAGCTTAAATATTTTTACTAGCAGACCTTGTAGTTGAATACTGTTCTTTTTAGAACCTCTTTTAGTGCGAAGTGTACAAGATAGCTGATAGCTAATAGCCATAAAAAAAATAACTCGACACTAAATCCCAACTTTATTAGAATATGTTGAATGGGAAAGCGGTAGTAATGACTCTTTATGTCCGTTAAGTGCTGTCAAGGAGGTGAATTTTGTTACTGTAAATAATAACTGTTTATATATTTGCAATTAATTTATTTTTGTTTCTTAAAATATTTTGATTAAAAGAAAATATGTAAAAGTGGTCAACGCTGTGCCAGTCAAGCTTAATCACGTGACTAAAAGTTTATTTGATATGAACTATATCTATTTCATCTCTTTTTTCACATTCCAAAAAATCGTCTGGTTATAAGTTAATCTAATAACATTATTTACATAATATATTTACGTAATAATATATATTATTATTTTCATTTATTTTACAACAAACAAACATATTATAAATGCATCTGTTTAGATAGGAAAAATCTGTGTTATTGCACCAATTCCATTGTTGTAAAAATGCAACTAAGGCGCAAAAACTCTTTGGAAATGTACAATGCAGAAAATAATATTTTTATCGTTTCTGAGATTAAAAAAAAACAATTATTGTGAAATACATATTTGGTTCCAGATAACCCGAAAAAACAAATTGTATGGCTATGAAATAACTAGGTCATCAAACTGCTTCGTAATTTTAACATAATATTTTGATATCTACTCTTAATATTTACAGTAAAAAATAAGTGCGCCATTTAAATGGATAAAAAATGGGAGACAGCAATATGACAATTCTATGTTATGCCGATGACGAACAATGGAAAATAATCAAAATTCTGCGTGCAAAAAAAAATTTTTTTTGCTCCCATATTAGAGATAAATAATCGAAATTCCACAAACAGGATTACTTTTATTGTTAGGATACTCGATATCGTTACAAAACATTATGAAAAATGATAAAAATGTAGAAGAAATTAAATTGTCTTATCAATCGTTTACTGTGATTAAAACGAAATCGTACCAACAAGTGCCTTTTCATTATAAAAAACAAACTAAACCTGCCATGGAAGCTAACCAAGGTATGTATTATTTTTGTACATTATGAAGTATACAATTTTATTTTAGGGTACGAAGTTATACGACAGTAAAAAATGACTGAGAATAATCTAGTCTTTTGTTGTAATTAACTTTGATTAAACTTTTATTGAGTTTTGTGCCAAACATCTTGTACTTTCAGTTTTATTAAATAATGTGGACCTTCGGCTATTGAAATTGTAAAGGTTTTTTGCAACTACTGGCAACTTATGCTAGTATGATTTTTTTTCTGTCTGTATGTCTGTGTCACGAGAACTCCGAAACCGCTGGAGGTATTGTAATGAAATTTTCAGGGAGAATACTGTTGGGGCTTCTAAGAAGCCGAATGAAGTTTAGTTAAAATTCATCAACTTTAAGGATTTTTTTTATAGTTAAAATTTCAAAAAGTATGTAACTTTTGAACAAAAAAATCGTATTAATATGCGGTTTTTAGATTATAATAACACATATTTTTTTTTCAACCATTTAAGTATGATATAACAAAAAAAATTAGGAGTTTCTGTTCTCACAAAAACCTGTTTTTGACAGATTCAAATTATATTGCGCTCTGCTAGCATACTAGGGAGGTGTGATGTCATGGATCCATTTATTTTAGATGCTGACCACACTATAAAAAATATTGACCTATTAGAAGAGTGGATTGATTGCAAGTGGTAAAGGTGACCGAAAAAATAAAATTTCATTAAAAATCCAATCATTGCTGAACGTCGTCGGTCAATATTCTGATGAGGCCCTTGGTAAACTTTGTTATAGTTTACGAATGTGTTCTGTAATTTACATTTTTTACAATAAAGTTTTCTGATTTTTTTGTTAGTGTGTGAGACAGAAAAGTATAGAGTTATCCGGTTATGGCGATATGGAAACAGAGGTAAGACAACAAGTAACAAAAGCAATGAGATTGGGTCGATGTCTGAACGACACCATATGGTAAAATAAATACATAGGTGTCGCGGCCAAGTCAAGAATATACAAGGCTGTCGTCAGACCCATAATGGCCTACACAGCAGAAACCAGACCGGATACAGCAAAAACAAAAACCGTCACTCGTATAGCCTACCGTCAAGTTGGCCTTGGTTCAATGTATTGCAAATTTTAATTAAATCGGGCGATTTTTTGATTTGATTCATTGATGATGGAGTTTTGTAGTGCACGAAACGTCGTCAAAATATCATGAAAAGATGGGGCTCTTTGAGCCACAAACCAATCTTTGAAAAAAATATCTTTGAAAAATCATTTGAAAAGGTAGGATTACTACTGTAGAAGGAGAGCACGACTGGTATTATTAGGTTCTTTGCGTGTACTGGTCATATATAAAATGGGGATTTATAAAACTTATTGCCTTGCAGAGTTTATACATTCTGTAAGAACCAGTTAGACCTATAAAGTAAACTCACCGGTAAAAAAAACCGGCCACTAAAAATTAGTCCCAATTTCAAAGTTGGATTTCTCGCAAACCACTCATTAGATTTTGATGATTTTTTTTAAATTGTAAATTAATTCCTTCTTAACGGATGCTACGCCAGAAATTTTTATTCCGAATTTATTTTGAGCATTTACAGGGCACCCCGCAATAAGACAAAGTTTTTTGCCCGAACTTTGTAACACCCTGTAGGGTGCAGCAGCTGTAGTAGCTATTGCTAAATCAAATCACATTGTAGCCTCATCTTTTGTGAGCATTTTGTTTTTTTAATCACAACATTATCTCTCTTTGTATTGGAGATACGCTGCTTTAAAACGAACGTCTCGGAAAAATGCTTCGCAGGAAGAAAGTTTTATGTGTAAATAATCAAGGCGACATAGGCGAAAATGGATTTATTAGTATTGGCAATATGACAACAACGGTTGTCAAATTAAAAAATGCAATTATCTGTGACGGATGTTGCTCGTATTGCGGCTTTAATTGAGGATGGCCGAAGTCAACGTTATGTGTGTCTGATGAGTACCCTGGGTATACCCCGAACTCCCGAACAACAGTCCAGGATGCCTGGAATCGGTATATGGAAACAGTGAGAGAACAATCCGACGAAAACTAAAAGAAAACAGCTTGTCTGCAAGGAGGCCTGCCATAGGACCCCAGCTCCTTCCGAGACACGTCTTCAGTTTGCACGTTTACATGTAAATTGGGATGAATCGCGGTTTTGCCTGCGAAGCATTTTTCCGAGACGTTCGTTTTAAAGCAGCGTATCTCCAATACAAACAGAGATAATGTTGTGATTAAAAAAAACAAAATGCTCACAAAAGATGAGGCTATAATGTGATTTAATTTAGCAATAGCTACTACAGCTGCTGCACCCTACGGGGTGTTACAAAGTTCGGGCAAAAAACTTCGTCTTATTGTTGTGCCCTGTATATGCTCAAAATAAATTCGGAATAAAAATTTCTGACGTAGAATCGGTTAAGAAGGAATTCATATACAATTTAAAAAAAAATCATCAAAATGTAATGAGTGGGTCGCGGGAAATCCAACTTTGAAATTTGGACTAGTTTTTAGTGGCCGGTTTTTTTTGCCGGTGAGTGTATAATATTGTAAAATCCTAAAATTAAGAAAATGGCGCTTATCAAGTTTTTCCCCTGGGCCCTTCATATTGTTTACAAATAAACATACTGATACAATTCATTAAATACGATAGAGTTAATATTTCACGGTATAATGAATCGGTAATCTTGTTTGATCATTGAGATAAAGCTTTGTTTAAGACGCCTACGAATTACAAGAACATATATAAATAACAATTCGTGTTGAAGCAATGCATAATAATTAGAACCAGAGCGTATATTACTCTCTGCTGCAACTATAAATTTACATAGAGCATCTACTATTGAGAATATTGAAAGTACAAAAATACTTTGAGGAAACAATTATATTTGGTTTTATATGAGAATTTAAGGTAAGTTTTGTTTCGTTACTTAATATTAGTGTTATAATTAAACTTATAATAAAATATTTGTACTGAAATTTATATTTTGAGCAAAGCTTAATTGTAAAAAGAAAAAATATTTATCTACATTACACACTTTTAGTTGACATAAATTAAACATGTTTAATCGAAATAAAAATTAAAATTCTACACCCTCTATCTCCGAAACTTTAAGCGTTTAGCACATACTTTAACATACATTTATACGAACTTTTTTATTTATTTTTATCTGAAGAATATGCTGGCGAAGTTTCGGGAATACACTTCGGACCATCCTGTAGATTATAAAATTATGGTATTTTTAGAATGGTAATTTTATAACAAATCCACTAAGGGAATAAAATATACAGTATTTTATGTGAGAAACTATAACTTTAAATAAAAATTGTACCGTTCTATACAAGAAGAATAGTAGTTTATATAGAAATGAAATTTTGACAGCATATGTATGTTAATTAAAAGCATTTTATAAAAATATATAGAATTATACAGGGTGTCCCCAAAAAAGTTACACATCAAAGTTATGTTTTTTTCTAATGGAACACCCTATATATTAATTGATTTTCGGATTCTAGGGAAAAAATAAAGGTCAGTTTTATTAAAGAAGCATTAAAATCTAAGGATTTTGACATATTTCACATTTTGTGAAAATGAAGAGTAAATTTTAAATTTCGATAGATAATAGTCGATAGCTTAATATTTAATTACAGTAACCATTGTATGTTTAACCAAATTGAAATTTGACCCGAAAAGTTATACAGGGTAAGACAAAATTAATATGGAATATTAGTCACTTTCAAAAGTAAGTTACTCCTTTATTTTAAATGGAACATCCAGTATATTATTCGGGCGTTCAATGGGGAATTTATATATCCTTCAGACAAAGATTTTCCTAGACATTTTAATTTTTATTATTTTCCATCAGTAGATCTTTATTATTTGAAAAAATCTAGGGTAGCTGTGATATACCTTTTGTTGATTTAACAAAAATTAAAAATTTTAGAGTCAAATACTCAACGGTAATAAAAATATACACGTTTAAAACATATTTTAAGTATTACACCATTAAAACTAGATATAAACCTATAATTATATGACAAAAATTAGCTAGATGAAATCAAATGCTCAAAATGCTTCATTTCCTGTTAACTTCATAAAATGATTGTCTTTTCAAAAGGATCTTTTCATTTTAAAAGGCATATCTCGAATAGATACCTCGAAAAGCAGCGTCAATAATTTCTCTCATGATGCCGACAATAGTTGGGCGAGTATTTTAAACACTGTCTTTAACATATCCCCATAAAAAACAGACTATTTAGATAAAATCAGGAGCATTTAAGTATTCTATTAATTCGTGAATGCACACTGCATTCGCCAGCTAATAGAATCAAATCAATCTCTCAGATGTAGGATAAGTTTGCATTTTCGGCAAATTTCTGAGAATTTTTGTTGATGTCCCATTACAAAAACCACAACTTTGATATGTAACTTTTTTTGGGAACACCCTGTAGAATTCTATATTTTTAAAAAGTGCTCTAAATTAACCTACACATGCTCACAAAATTTCATTTCAATACAAACTGTCGTTCTCCTTAGAGCCTCCGCGGCGTATAAGAAGCGCCACCCTGTATATCTACGAAAATATTTTTCTAAAATATGAAATAGAAAACTTGATATGAATCTTTTTCGAAAAACTGATCACTCTATAATATTCTCGTCATATTCCAAAATGCAATATTTTTGCTTCTAACATTATTATTAGATTATAATTTAATCAATATAAAATCAAATTTAGTTCAGAATATTTATTTCTTACCATTTTTTTTTAGAATGTCACCATTCACAACATACCAGTACATTATCACAACGTTTTTCCTAATACTCACCCTCACATTAGTCCTACTTTACAAAAAATGGTTCTCCTATTGGAAAGACAAAGGCCTCAATTATATAGAGCCTACCATACCTTTTGGAAATGCCTCCCGATTTTTCTTAGGTCAATGTAGTTGGGCTAACCTCTTTAGAGACCTCTATTTGGAGGTCAGAAAAAAAGGCTGGAAGCATGCAGGAGTATACTTTTGCGGAAAACCAGTCTACATGCCTGTAGACAATGAAATCATCAAGAGAATACTTGTTTCCGATTTCATACACTTCGCCAACCATGGAGTTTTTGTAGACAAGTCATCAGATCCTTTGTCAACACACATTTTTAATATGGAAGGCTACAGATGGAAGAACATAAGATCTAAGCTTCCTATAGCTTTTACAGCAGCAAAAATGAGACGAAATGTGATCATAATGAACGAAATAAGCAAAGAATTCATTAAGGAACTCGATAAAGAAGTCAATTCTAATAATTCAATCAACATAAAGGACCTATTAAGTCGTTTTACAATTGATGTAGTAAGCTCTTGTTCTATGGGAATGAAGAGCAACACTCTAAAGCACGAAAACGAGACTTTGGTGGAACAAAGTACGTCATTCTTTGAAGACCAATGGAGTAGAACGAGTAATATCTTGGTTACATTGATCCCAAGAAAGATTTTGGTAATGTTACATTTCAAACTCTTCAACAAGAGAGCTTCAAACTTCTTTTTGAACATGTTCAAGCAAATAAAAGATCACAGACTGACAGAAACTGTCAAACGGAACGACTTAACAGATTTATTACTGGATTTATGTGATGGAACAAAGGAACATAAGGATTATGCAGGTGATGGTACGATGGAGCCTCTAAGTTTTGATGAATTTGCTGCGCAGATGTATGTGTTTTTCGAGGCGGCGTTTGAAACATCTTCTAGTACGCAGACCTTTGCTTTGTATGAACTGGGTGCTAACAAGGAGGTTCAGGATAGGCTAAGGAACGAAATAGAAGAAGTTTTGAAGAAGCACAATGGTCAAGTAACGTATGAGGCTGTCTGTGAAATGGAATACTTGGAAAGAGTTATTGATGGTAAGTTAGAAACGTTATTTTTTAACTTGATTTGTTTACTTTATGGCTCAGATATATAAGTACGCTCAGATGCAAAAAACGCAACGGATTTTTCGTCAAGTTTGCACTGTTACATTTTTTTATTCTTAGCCCAATTTTAATGACTCAATTTTAATGATTTAGCAAACTGTATATAAATCTAGCAACTTTAATTCGTAAACTCAGTTTTTTATAAACTATAGTATTTGGCTGATTACAAGGGTCAATTGAAGGGTTGTGTTTTACCTTAACTTTAAAACACCCTCTGTAAAAATTTCGTGAGTAACTTTTCCTAAAACATAATGTTTCGATCACAACCGTCCCCTGAGCATTTTCTTTTTTGATACATGTCAATACTTGGTTAATTTTAAAGAGCGAAAACGAAAACTTGCCACCAACGTGAACTTGCCACCAACAATTTGCAATTTTTTAACTATTATTACTTTATGATGTTATTTTTTAATAATTAAAAAATTAACCAGACATATGTTGCCATGAGTCAAAAAACGAAATATTCAGGAGACATGGTTCTGATCGAAAAATAATGTTTTAGGAATATTTACTCACTAATTTATTGCACAGGGTGTTTTAAAGATAGGGTAAAAAACAACTCTGCGATTAACTCTGTATAATAATCAAATATTGAAGTTTATAATAAACTGAGTTAACGAATCTATACTAATATATAAAATCCTTAAGTGACTGACATACTGATTAATACCGATCCTGCTCAAACCACTCAACGTAAGAAGCTCAATTTTGGCATACAGGTTGATTCTAGGGCGTAGAGGTTCGATAAGAAGGGATTTTTCGAAATTCCAGTTCCAAGAGGGTGAAACTACCCCTCAAATATTACAATATTTTTTATTTAAAAAACGGTCAAGTTTCCGAAAAAACGCTTAAACACGTATATTTTATTTTGTTTTTTTTTACATATTTTAAGATTTTTTAAAAAGGTATACAGGGTGTTTCGAAAAATCTGGTCATTGATTAATCACGATCCTGCTTAAAGCACTTGCCGTAAAAAGCTGATTTTTGGAAAACAGATTGACTTTAGGGTGTAGAGGTTCGATAAGAAGGGATTTTTCGAAACTCGAATTCTAAGGGGGTGAAACTATCCCTCAAATATTAAAATATTTTTTATTTAAAAACCGGTGAGTTTTTCGGAAAAACTCTTAACCACGTATATTTTATTTTGTTGTTTTACATATTTTTTTTTATAAATTTATACAGGGTGTTTAATAAAATATGACCAATGACTAATCACGATTCTGCTTAAACTGCTTGACGTTTAAAGCTGATTTTTGGCAAACGGATTGACTGTGGGGTGTAGTGGTTCGATAAGGAGGGGTTTCTCGAATCTCAAATTCCAAGAGGGTGAAAACGCCCCTCAAATATTACAATATTTGTTATTTAAAAAACGGTTAGTCTTTCGGGAAAACGCTCGGACAAGCACAATTTATTTGGTTTTTTAAATATTTTGAAATTTTTTGAAAAATCGTACAGGGTGTTCCAAAAAGTTGGGTAATTTCTTAACCACGATTCTGCTTAAACTGCTTGACATAAAAAGCTTATTTTTGGCAAACGGATTTTTCGAAAGTCAAATTCCAACGAGATGAAACTACCCCTCAAATATTACCAAGTTATATAATAATATCGCCATATTGTTTTTCCTCATGCTGACATAAATGTGAGAAAATTTTATCCAGTTTGTATGTTAATGGAAATTCTTGTTTTGCTTTATCATCACCATTACAAATGATTAATTCGACGCGAACGAAGTCGCTGGTACACGCTAGTCAAAGATATATTTGCATAAAATTTTCCATTGCGTTTTTTTTGCATCTGAGTGTAAGTAAACCACAATAAACAATAATGTGGTTTAATAAGTACTGAACCATATTATTTATCTTAATTTCAAAGTACAAATTATTTATTTTCCAGTCCAAGCTTCTTCATTATTGTCGTTGTAATTAATATAGTTAACACATAGATGCAATATGATATTATCTCTATTTTGACATATATATCACTAAAAAATAAGCACATGTTTCTAGTTTATCTAATAAATATTCAAACAAACAATAAATGTCAGTAAAATTATTAAATTTTCGATAATTAAAGTCAAAATAATTAATTAATTATATTTTTAAAACCGCGTGTATCTATATAGGGTAAAACAATTATAAGTTATTGAGCTTGCATATGTAGATGTTATATGTTATGTTTTCCATGTTGATACGTTATCAAACAAAGAAAATATGTTATTATAATTTCATTTTTGTATCTTAATATCAAGGAAACAAAAACAGTCGAGTTTAATTTACATCTAGTAGAATTAATTAAGCAATTAATAATTATTGCATATAGCAATATAGTGTCATGATACCGTTGTTTTTATAAAGCAATTTTTTTTCTTCGATAGAGTTTTATACAAAGTGTCTAAAATTTATGCCGATTTGTAATAATATTTATATTTGTGGTTGATTTTTATCCGATCAATATCCTCTAATGAGGGAATAAAAACACAAATCCTCACAATCTTCTATTAACAATTTTTATTACAAATGTTTTTTATAAATAAGGGGGCTACATGTTTCAAGACGATCATCTTCAGACCCAGGCTAAAATATCAGAAAATACAGCCAAGGAAGTAAAAACTACGTAAAAAGAATTAAATAAACAAAGTCAGGCAATAAAAGACAGATACAAATTACATATACACTCAAATGCAAAAAAATTTGGTCTAGTTTAAAACCCTACTCTATTTTCATGATTGTTTAGCAAGTTGTATACAGGGTGCTACAAATTCGAGGTACGAGCATTGGTATAGTACTATTCTTTTAAAAGTTCCTCAATATGACCGACCTAGTTACGAAAATTGGTAATTTTTTTTAATGAAAAATAAGTTTGCGTTAGCGAATTCAGAAATTGATTTACTCTTTGGTTAACAATAATATTTTTCAGGATTGTCAAGTTGACGTTAAAGTTAAGTTATTAGGTGGTTGTCATAAATAAAAACATAGATTATTGAAATTATTTAATAAGAATAAAGGTATTTTACCGCAGATCCGAAGAGATTTTACTTAAAGGTATTTTATAAACTTTCTCAGTGAGAATATTAACTCCCCTGTTTCTTATATTTCAGTTAAAGGGACGTAAGAACTATAGGAAGTAAATTTTTGTTTTCATGTTTTGACAATATCTGAGAGTTCCTAGAATTATCAAGATTATTGAATAATTATAGTTGTTTAATAAGTGAAATTAAAGAAGACTTGGAAATAGGATGATGCTTTTCATGTTATAGTTGATAGATCACTCCATTTTTCTTAATTTGTTTTTATTTAAGTACAGTTAAACACAAATTGAATTGATGTGTGCAAAAACAGCTATATATTTTCAAACATCTTATTTAAATAGTTCTTTTATATACTGTTAAACTGTATCAACTACATAGTATTTAGCAAAAAATTATAATAAATTTTGAATAATTTAAATTAAAATTAAATTTATAGTTTATGAAAATTTATAATATATAAAGATTAGAACACAATCCTCTGAAGGAAAAAGAAATACTCAAAAACTCATTAAATATACTTTATTAAAAATAACAACATACAAAAACATCCATGCAAACTGTAATAATCAGAACATTATCCACATTATACCTTTATTAAATTTGTGTCCACACTCCTGTCAGGAAAGCCAGAAATGTTTGTTTAAACATTAACTTATTTTAAATTGCCAGAAACACATCAGAATATATCACAACCACAACTATAGATTAATCAGTACTAAATTTTATACCTAGTAAGTGATGCGTTAACTCACAAGTATAGGATAAAAAACAATTATTAATATAGAGTGTACTATACAATGTCCTGCTTATTTATGAAATGACTTTCCCTTCAAATGTGAGGAATACCAGTAAAATAAAACATAATTTTTGGTTTGGTTTGGTGTTTGATATTCTAACTACATCTATTACAAACCTTAAGTGCTTTTAGCGAGTAACTGTATTTTTACAGTAAAAAATAATGAAAATATTGAGAAAAAGGAACCGTAAACGTCAATGTCAGCCAAGTGTCAGAGTTCAATTGGATTTACCACAGATTATCAATTTGAACGATTTGAAGTACAGTCGATTCCAGTTTAGAGATTTTCGTTTTTTAAGCCTCCCATACTGAAGTCCGCCATATTGGGAAGTTTTAAATGAATACAAGTATATCTCGGTAACCGTAATATATACGAACATGGTTATATTGGGGCAAAGTTGCCGTATTGGGATGTTCACCAAGATGCAATCAAAAATGTTTTAAAAATTTCAAGTATTGCTAAGTTTTTTGGAAAAAACTGATTTTTTTGAAAATCAATTTTATTTTTTCCTGTCGTTACTTTTTCGAAAATTAAAAAACTAATTGCACATTCTCATAGCCACTTTTTTAGGGCTATCTGATAGTATTTTTAGATTTTCAAATTAGCTGATAATTTGTGAGATACAGAGGCCAACTTAATTTTTTTAAATACGGACCTGTATTTTTTATTTCAGTTTTTGAAAGAAGCCGGTCTCCTAAATACAATGATATGCCACACAAAGTTTATAAAAACTGAGTTTATGAATTAAAGTTAATAGATTTATATACAGTTTACTAACTTCATTTTTTTGTGTTTGCTAAATTACTCTTTTTTGTTTTGGATACTTTAACAGCCACAAAAGTATTTAATTATTATTTAAAATAATTTGAAGTCCGACTCTGGTTATTTAAATTATTTAATTTGATTATATTCATGGCAGCAATATTGATCAGCGCTAATTAACATTGAATAAGGAAAATCGAGCCAAATGAATTCAAATAAATTTAGGTCAGAAATTTAAAGATATTATTTTTTAACCTTTTTTATTGTGAATTTGAAATCTCAGTGTGCGATCTAATAATATGCATAACATTAATCGTAGGTATTAAATAACTATAAGTTAATAAATTATAAGTTAATAAATAAAAACTTCTATTTATAGAAAAATATTATGTTTAACAAAAACTTGTCAAAACAAATATATGTTTTGACAAGATTTTGACAGTTAAAACAACAAATTACAACAGATTATATATTGATTATTATATGACTTGAAACACCACGGCACTGGAATTAAGTTTTATGTGACCTTGAACAGATTAGTTCACATGGTAGCGGCCGATGAATCACTCCCAAACATTCGTGGCGTTTACTCTACTAACTAGTTTCTAATGTTCTACATGTTCGAAAGGGTTACCAGTTACCACCCTCCCTATTGCACAAATTTATTTTTCGCTCAATTTTATTTATAGCTCTTTAAACTTTCTTCTTATACTTCCGAATGCATTTTGTACTTTATTGTAAATGTTGAGATTAATTGATTTCACTTTTACAAATGACGTCAAATAATGTAGCCCCTTGGCGATAGGTCCAGGAACCGGGTGGACATTATACTGCTCTACCATTTCCAATCCATCTTCCGGGAAAATGATTTGATTGTTTATTTATTTATTATTTTATATTATTTTATTGCATTTGATTTTCCGTATCTAATGTTTTACCCCACGTCATTGTTAAGTTTGAACGCTTATCTCAATATTATAACGATGAATAGATTAAATTAAAACGGAGCCAGACTTAAAATTAGTTTAAATAAATTGTGTTCAAATGTAAAAAAAAAATATTACGTGTGGCATATCATTGTACTCAGGAGACTGAGTTCTTTCAAAATCTGAAATAAAAAATGCAGGTCCGTATTTAAAAAAATTAAGTTTGCCATTGTATCTCAAAAATTATCAGCTAATTTGTAAATCTAAAAATCATCAGATAAGCCGTAATAAAGTGGCTATGAAAATGTTATAAACTTGAGTGTTTGGCTTATTATACAGGACAGAGTTAATTGAAAAGTTGTTTTTACCCTATCTTTAAAACACTTTGGTGCAATAATTTCGTGAGTAACTTTTCCTAAAATATTATTTTTCGGTCAGAATTTATGTCAACACATATGCCTTGGTTAATTTTTAAGAGCAAAATGAACTTGCCACAAACATTTTGCAATTTTTCCAATTATCGTTACTTTTTGATGTTAGTCTTCATAACGAGATACCTCGGCTTTGGTAATTATTGTTGGGTACGATTGAAAATGGTTTTTAGTGTTGAAGATTGTGCAAAAGTCATTGATCTTGTTGAAGATGACCGAAATTATGAATATTTGCTGGGTTCTTGAAGAAAAATGGGAAAACAGCATAATATATTTGCAGCTTCATGAATAGAATGAATAAAATAGACAGTTATAGTAGCCGGGGGAAGCAATACAAAACATTAAAGTATGTTTTACAAGTTTTTTATTTCTTTGTACACTTAGATATTATAGTTATTTTTTAGTAATATCCTTAGTTCTGTTAGTGTTACTAATATTTATTAAAACCAAGCCTGTATCGTTACTTTTTAACCTTTTTTAAATTTTAATATAGTGTTTTAATCAATGTCGATATGACACTACGACAATAGTCACCAAAGCCACCTCTTGATAGAAAAAAATAACATCTAAAAGTAATGAAAATTGAAAAAATTGCAAATTGTTGGTGGCAAGTTCATTTCGCTCTTAAAAATTAATCAATGCATGTGTTGACATTAGCCAAAAAGAAAAATGCTCAGGAGACATAGTTCTGATCGAATAATAATGTTTTAGGAAAAGTTACTCGAAATTATTGCACAGGGTGTTTTAAAGTTAGGGTAAGAAACCAGCCTTCAATTAAACCCTGTATAATAAGCCAAATACTAAAGTTTATAAAAAACTGAGTTTATGAATTAAAGTTGATGTATTTATATACAGTATGATAAAAAAACCTTGAAAATTGGGCTAAAAGTAAAAAAAAATATAACACTTTGAAACTTGACGAAAACATTGAAAATAATTGTCTGAGTGTAGTTAGAAGTTGCTTCATTCTTTTTACGAAGTTTTTACTTCCTGTATTTTAAGATATTTCAGCATGAGCCTGAAGATGAGATCTCACCGTCCCGAAACATGTAGCCCCTTATTTAAAAAAAATTGAGACAAAAATATTTAATACAGATCGTGAGGATTTGTGTCTTTATTCCCCCAAAGGATATTCATCATTTTGAACTCACCCTGGGCCAATGAACGTTTATTGATTTTTATCTATTTTTATGGATCTTATTTATGATTTATAATTTATAGATATTATTTACGATTTTAGAAACTCTACGAAAATATCCAGTTTTTCCATCGTTGGCTAGGATATGTACCAAGGATTATGTCGTTCCTGGAACGGATGTGACTATAGAGAAGGACAGTTTTGTTATGATAACGAATCTAGGTATCCATTACGATCCCGAGTACTATCCAGATCCGATGAAGTTTGACCCGGAACGATTCACAGCAGAAAATAAAGCTAAGAGGCCTTATTGCTCATACGTACCATTTGGAGAAGGTCCTAGAATATGCCTTGGTAAGTTTGAAATATCTATAAATGAGAATAAATTTTTAAAACGTACACATATGTATGAACACGAATTGACACAAACATTTGTGCCATAATTTTTGGCACTTTATATTAGTTAATTATACTATCTATTGTATTAATTCTAGTCAAATTTTTTAACTAGTGCAAAATGTAACTTATATTTTGCGCTTGTTCAAAAACACCTTGACATTATGAATGACAAGTTGAGCTAAAGAGAAAAAAATTGTAAAGACCCCGCGGCTTTTTTGACTCGCACTCAAGGAATCGATTTGGTGTCGAATTAAAATAATTCACCTAAATTTTAGCTCTTTAACTCAAACGGTTTTCGAGACTTATCGAAAAAAATAATATGATCATGATTCTTAAACAAAAAACTCTGTATTGTGCTGTTGTCCAAAAAGGCAAAAGTGTAAAATCTATTGAAACACACTGCTCTATCACGGCGGTTCAAGGCCGGATGAGATCGGATATCTCGTGAGTAAGAGTCGATTTAGACACTTGCCAAATCGGTAGGCTATTGACCATGATATGGCCGAGGACCGCGGTTCGGATTCCACGTAAACATAGTAGGCCCCGTCTAAATTAGCCCTGGCAGCAAAAAGGAGACGTTAACTTGAAATCTTTTCTTTACTGTACTAAAAATCGTCAAAAAAATGTCTTTTATACTGCTTTACATTCAGGAATTTTTTAGAATTTTTTGTAAAAAAGTGGTGAAACAATATGAAAAAAATTAAAAACTTATTTTTTTTTTAAATTTTCTGTTTTAACTGACTTATATTTTTGTTTATTTAAAAAAGTGAGTAGAAAACATGAAGATTATTATAAAAAATGAGTCCGAGAAGATTTTAGAAAAAAAATTTAGAAAAAAATGTGTTTTTAATTTTTTTCAAATTTGTTCCACCACTTCAAAAAATTCTAAAAAAATTCCTGAGTGTAAAGAAGTATAAAAGACATTTTCTGACGATTTTTAGTGAGTGAAATATTTCACGAAGGTTAAAAAAGAAGATTTTAATTTTTTTTTCCTCCGCTAAAAATCGGCTTTTCGCTTAAGAATCACGATCATATTATTTTTTCATGTCTTAGACTTCTAAGAATTAGAAAAAAAATCATTAATTAATTTTAAATTTTACTATAAACATAAAATTGAAAAAACAGTTTTTTTTTGAAAATCTCGAAAACCGTTTGAGTTAAAGAGCTAAAAATTTAGATGAATTATTTTGATTCGACATCAAAGCGATCTGCTGAGTGCGAGTAAAAAAAGCCGCGGGGGCAGATTTCCCATATTAATCCGGCTATACCCTTTTTGTAAAAATTTGTCAAAATGTCAAATCCTGGAAGGTAAACCAAGTACTAGTACTGGACACCTTGCAGCAATATTTTTTGAAAAGAGTTTTAAGTAAGAACCGAGACCTCTACGAGCAGAAATGAGAATAAAATCAAAATATTATTGGGAATGAAGTTTTCCCATTAATTACGTCAGTGAATTGTTCAAACTGCGACATTAAAATTAAAATCAACTAAAAAAAGTTATTAAAAAATAAAAATAATTGATTCGATTGAATAGTATCATGGTTAGTGGTAATATTATTCTGTGAATTACTGGGTAAAAACTTTTTAATAAACATTTAAATAAGAATTTCAATTCGATCGTAGAAAAAATGTTGTGTGCAACATGTGCAAAAAGCATATTTGTTGCACTCAGCATGATTGCTGAAAAACTCATGCGTCATGCAATAAATATGTCCTTTTTGCATTAGTTACACAAATAACTTATTACTTAGATATTTGTGTAACTTCTTGTGTCTTTTTTAGGTAAGCGATTTGGACTATGGCAAATCAAAATAGGCTTAATCAGTATCCTTAGAAACTATGAAGTCAGTTTAAGTGACAAAATGCAACTGCCACTGGCCTTCAAAAAGACTGGATTAATTTTAAGAGCAGAAGGCAGTGTATGGCTACATTTAGAAAAAATAAATTAGATGTTTATTTAACATAAAAAAAACGAAACTAATTTTAATGGATATAAAATGTGATATATATTTTTTAGTTTTTTTTTGGTTATGTATAATAAATTGTTTAACTTCTTATAACTATATTCTTTTTATTTACGAGTTTGAGAAAAAATACTGTATGATCGAAAAAATTCGTCCAGTTGGCTTGGAAATTACGATCAATGACACATTCCCCATCTAATTTTACATATAAAATGACAGCGATCTTTAGATCGTAGCCATCGCTGACCCATTTGAAGTGTCCAGAGGAAAAACATGATAAGCGCCATTTTACTGATTTTACAGGAAAGCACTGGACGGCTGGTAGTTATCAGGTTCTTAGGCATATGTATATCATAGGATTTAACAACTTAGTGACTTGCAGAATTTATACATTTTGTAAGGATCAGTTAGACCTACTATATAATATTGAAAAATACTAAAATTAAGAAATTGGCGCTTATCAAGTTTTTCCTCTGGATCCTTCATTTTTTTTCGATCATATTGTATATTATTCGTATTTTATTGGTCAAGAAACGAGGGAAAACATTCTAGAAATATTCTCTATGGTTATAATAATAGTTATATAAAGTAAAAATAATCCTTTTCGTATCTTGAATAATTCAGCTCGAAAAACAGAAGCATTATGACGAAAGAAATAACCTGGAAACGAACAATGCTGCTTTTATATTTATCCAGCATTAAATCTGGAGACGTTTCTCCATTAAAACTGGAATAAGGAGGAAGGAAAATGGAGAAATTCTAAGAAAACAACGTCCGCATGTCAGATTTCGTTTCCTTTTCTCGGCTAAAATAATATTTATGGATCTATTATTGACATGAAACTCGATGCAAAACAAGACTAATGCGTCTGTAATACTGTGTCGCATTTTGATATTCTCAAAATAACAATTCGAGGGAATAAATAACTAGCAAGACATAATCATAAGTGTTTTTATAACGTATTTATGTAACCCGCGTTTCAATATTAGGAAAACAGTCTTAAATCAACGTCAAAATCAACAATTTACCGAGCCTGTTTGTCAGTTAATAAGTTATCACATATACCGAATGGTGCATCGTTGTTGGAAACAAGTTGGAAGCATAGAAAATCCCATGCAAATTTTGAACTGACTGAATATTGGCTCTCCCGTTAAGTGTACAGTGAAGTCATAAATACGTTTTCAAAAGTCTGCGTCATAGACAAACAAATAAAAAGAGACTGACAAATCTCATGGTAAAGAGTGGGACCGCGTTCCCGTAGCGCAACTCAGAATAACAATTTTGAAACCAATTAGCAGGACCATGGCAGGACGTACGTCTTTATTGCTATCTTTCTTTATTATGTGTGCTTTATATGAAAAAGAAAGAGATAGGTATAAGACGTATCGTAAGACATTATCGCACATTCTGGCTGGCGGGAAATTTAAATTAGCCATTATTAGTAGTATTCTTTCATTCTGAAACTGAAAATTTTCACTTAAACTGATTTATTCCCTATACTACGTAAAGGGAACGTGGTGTAAGGAATAAATCAGTTTAAGTGAAAATTTGCAGCTTCTTTCAGAACGAAAGAATACTACTATTACCTATAAGGGAAATTATAAAAAAAAAGCAAAAATTGTACTGTTTTATAAACATATTTATTTATACATAAAAATAAATAAACTTTTTTTAATATAATAACAAAAATTAACAGTGTTTATTCCACCCACCTACCAGTTTTAAATGCAGAAGAACTGACTGTTGCAGGAAACGATCGGCCAATTTTTTTAAAGGGCATTAAAAATATCATTTTCGAAAAAACTGCCTAATTGCAATAACAAAGTGAATATCCAAGCAAGGAAGACTTTACGAGAATCATGATCCTGAACCATTTCCAAGTCCAGTTTTAATCCTAAAACAAAAGTAAAATAGGTATATTAATAAAGTTTCTGGTTACTATAACCCAGCTATAAACTACCTACCCAAAAAATGAAAAAAATTAATTGTATTAATTTGTTATGTTAAGAGAGGTTCGAAATATTTTTGACACTACTACTTCCACCATATGATCGAAAAAAAAATGGCGTCCAGTTGGCTTGGAAATGACGATCGATGACATTTCCCATATAATTTTACATATAAAATGACAGCGATCTTCATTTCATAGCCATCGCTGACGCCGTTTTTATTCGATCATACGGTACTTAATAAGATGATAAATATAACTACTTACTTTTATTTTACCGGGTGTCTTTAACATATCTATCAGAGAAAGGGGGCACCAATACATATAAAAAATAGATGATACTGGCTCCTGCAGCAAATAAAATGACAAATAGTATAATCTAAAATTATAAGTAACAAAACATAAATACCTATATGGAACAAAGGAATTTGTTCCCTATCCATATTCATAAGTCAATAAAATAGAGAGTTTAGAAAAAAAGGTAAATCACCAAAAGAAAAATTAACAAACATGACGGATTATCATGATGTTGTCATCTTGGTTGTCATGATGACGAAAACGAAAGTCGATTGTTCTAATTTCTATTTAGAAATTACGTTTTATATGGCTGCTTCTTTCTCTCTTGTTATATTAGAATGAGATAGTGGGCCCAATAGACGCAATGCGCAGATCAACATAAATAGAACGAAATTTTGCGTTCTGAGTTGCCCTTGAGTTGCCCTACGGGAACGTTGTCCCTCTCTTTGCCATTTAATTTGCCAGTCTCTTTTTATTTGTTTGTCTATGGTCTGCGTCTGCTGTATAAACATGCCAAATTTAAACACTTTTGGACAAGTGGATTTTAACTAATTCAAAAAAAGCTACATCTAAAACTGAACAGGTAACAATTCAAAACCAAGCAAATGTCAACATATAGTCCAGTAAATGAAGGTTGAAACCACGGTTTAATTCGTGGACCGGAACTTTTCAGGAGGATTGTGTATCTTTTGGAATGTATGTATTTATAGGGGAAAAATTGTAACACCGTGGTCGGCCAGATTTAGCCGAAATAATGGCTTTGGCCCCAAATGACCGGAAAATTAGTTTTTTGCAAATATCTCTCTAAATATGCAATTTACAAGAATTTTCTTATTAATTAACCTTTTTTTCATAGCAACTGTTAAAATTGTTTTATATCTATCAAAAATAGTAGATAAAATAGTACCGTATGATCGAGAAAAAACGGCGTCAACGATGGCTATAAAATGAAGATCGCTGTCATTTATGTAAATTTATATGGGAAATGTCATCGATCGTCATTTCCCAGCCAACTGGACGCCATTTTTATTCGATCATACGGTACTTTAACCGCAAGGGTAGATTAAATGCAAAAAAAGCAGTGCAAAGAAATTTCACATCTTCTGGGTTTAAAATTTTTGACTTTTTCGGTTTGTAACCGCTATAGTACAAATCTTTTAAAAGTTCCTCAATATGACCGACCTAGTTACGAAAATTTGTAATTTTTTTTAATGAAAAATAAGTTGGCCCGTTAGCTAATTCAGAATTTATTTATTCTTTGGTTAACCACAACATTTTTGGATTTTTCAGGATTGTCAAGTTGACGTTAAAGTTAGGTTATTAGGTGGTTGTCATAAATAAAAACAGAAATTATTGAAATTATTTAAATAAGAATAAAGGTATTTTACCGCAGATCGGAAGAGCTTTTACTTAAAGGTATTTTATAAACTTTCTTAGTGAGAATATTAACTCCCATGTTTCTTATATCTCCGTTAAACGGACGTAAGAACTATGGGAAGTGAATTTTTGTTTTCATATTTTGACGATATTCGAGGTTGTATTATCAATAAGTAGGTAACTGCCAAAGTAAAACAGATTGCTTTTGTAAAGGGAAAAGGGAAATGTTAAAAAAAATTATGATACTAAAGGATTATGCAAATATCTTAATAATGAACCGTCTCTATCAAAGACACTTAAAATAAAAATTAATTTTCTACAATCTATAAATTAAAATATAAATTAAAATTCTACATATACAAATTAATAAAAATAAACATAATTCTTAACTTACTCCTAACTAACATAACTAAAAAAAAATTATCCTACAAAATTAAATATCTACATATACAAATTAAAATAATCATAATTCTTAACTAACATGACTAATACAAAAAATAAAAATAAAATTATCCCTCAAAATACATTTGACTAATGTTTAAGTAAATTTCTTTGAATTGTGCATTGAGGTATAAGGTGATTATTGCCTTGTTTGTTTTTTCTGTCAATTTATCTAATTATAGTGGATTATACGGCTCCCCTCACCTTATGATTTTAGTTTAGTTGTTTTAATTTTCAAATTGAGCTTACCATATTGTTATCTGTGATTGAATAATTATTGTGATAGAAATAACCTTTTAACCTTATAAAAAAATGTTTAACTTTTTAATTTGTTTTGTGATCGTATTTTATATTTTGACCTCTGTTTGACTATTGGAATTTTCTATTATTCTGATTGCAATTGTTTCAGCTTTCTGGGCCTGATGATGTGAATTGAAGTCCCGAAACATGCCGCCCCCCTGCTTTTTTTTGAAGCATTTAAATTTAAATAAAAATCTTGATTGTGAGTTATTTGTCCCCTTACCCGCCTTCAGAGGTTTTACTTTGATAATATGTACTCACACTGGGTTAGAGAACGTTTAGTTTAGTTAAATAGTTCTTTTATATACTGTTAAACTCTATCAACTACAAAGTCTTTAGCAAAAAGTCATAAAGTAATAAATTTTGTAGATATAATTTATGAAAATTTATGTATAAAGATTAAACAATCCTCTTAGGAAAAAAAGAAATATTCAAAAACTCATTAAATACACTTTATTAAAGATAACAACATACAAAAATAGTAATTCTTCCAAACTGTAATAATCAGAACATTATCCACATTATACCTTTATTAAATTTGTGTTCACACTCCTGTCAGGAAAGCTAGAAATGTTTGTTTAAATATTAGCTTATTTTAAATTACCAGAAACACATCAGAATATGTCATATGTCAAACCACAACTATAGGTTTAGAATCAGTACTAAATTTTATACCTAGTAAGTGATGCGTCAACTAACAAGTATAGGATAAAAAAGAATTATTAATATAGAGTGTACTATACGATCTCCTTCTGCTTATTTATGAAGTGACTTTCCTTTCAAATGTGAGGAATACCGGTAAAATAAAACATAATTTTTGGTTTGGTTTGGTGTTTGATATTCTAACTACATCTATTACAAACCTTAAGTGCTTTTAGTGAGTAGTGTGTAACTGTATTTCCTATTATTCTTTAAATATTTATTATTATTTATAAATTATTATCCTGTAAAGTAAAGAAATATATATATTTCAAAAACATAAAAACAATGCAATAGACAGGTATCAAACAGATTCATAGAAGCTACTTACACCTTTTGTACATATTATATATTTCAAGTGTTATTTGATCTAGTAGTGAGAACTATCGAATGAATACTATCGAAACATTCGATAGTTGATTGCAACTATCGAATGTTTCGATAGTATTCATCAGTATTATTCGAATGAATTGTCATTCGAATAATTCGATAGCTAGTAAGAAAACATTCGTTGAAAACTATTCGAATAAAAATTATCGAATAGATGCGTTATGTGCCTTGAAATATTGTATTCTAGTAATTCGGCAGCAAAAACCATTCATTTATAAAATTCATTCATTTATGAAATTCATTTATTGGTCAGGATCGATTATAATATAATAAAATATTAACTGGATTTTAGCTGTCGCCCGGCGACGTAGGTTTCTTTCCGAGAAACCCGACAGCGGTCGGTGGCAATGCTATGAAAGAAGGCGGCATCTTTGATTTTTTGTGGAGTCAGATAAAGATAAGGACACATTATTTTTTTTATTGAGGTGCTAGTATTTACACAGAAAATATATTATGAAGGGCGCTGTTGCCATATATTGGTATTAGTTGATATTAGCAAAGAATATTATTGTTTGGCTTTAGTTAATTAGGGATAGTATGTCTATATATTTTGCATTTTTTTATTAATATTCTGTTGTTACACTGCAATACTGCCGTCCTAATGAAGAACGCAGTAACTCGATTTTTTTCGATTTTGAGATTTTGGTGAATTCGTATTCTTGAACATATTCTCTATCTTTCTACCAACTCAGTTTTTCCAAAAAAAATTTGGTTTTTTCAAAATTTGAAAAAAAAGTTTGCAGTAACTCGCTTAAAGCATCATATTACTAGTTAAAAACGCAGTAAGCACTTATCCTAGCGAGAAATGCAGTATTTAAAAATATACTGTGTAACTGCTTTGGATCTCCATTAAAAAAATCACTTTATTTTAAGGTAAACTGCAGTAACTTAGAAATCCTAATGAATAACGCAGTACAACAAACTTTGCTATAATTTATACATGTACAAGGAGTCAAAAACATCATCTATTACTAACAAAAAACGCAGTACGATGGATTATCCAATCACAATGCAGTATTCACAAATAACTTACGCCTATACCCTTGTATTAGTGACGCGATACGTCACACTTTGCTAAGGAAAAGTGCAGTAACTTTTCCCGCGTAAGCTTTAACGGTTTTCTAACCTATTTCATTTGCAAGATTACTGTTGATGAATCGTATTTCTGTCTCTGTTTAAACTTATTAATGTATAAAGGACAGAAAATACACTGAAACAGCATATTTATTGTAAGAATGAACAGATCGATTTGAGCTTTTAGCTGATGCGAAGGTGCGAAGGTGTTTAAATAATAATTATTAATTTAGTATTATAAATAATATAATATTATTACCGGGTTATCAAATAGTAAAAAATATAATTAAAAATTGTGTGTTTTTGTGGTTTTGTCGTCATAATGGATAGCAAGGTAAGTCTGTGGATTTATTTCAATTTATTAGTAGAAAATTTACGGCCGTTAGTTAGGTACGTGCAATAAATTTACCAGACGATTTTTTAAAAAATATTTTACGAAAAAAAATCCTATAAACATGCTAGGTTTTCAGAGTTTTAAAAGAAAAACTACATTTTAATTCGTTAAAAATATAAAATCGTTATTTATGTATCAATTGTGTTAAGTGATACTTTTTTTACGAATGGGATTGTTTTTCATTTTAAAAAAAGAACTTTCCACACGTGTTTCATACAATATTTTTTCTTATACCCTCAATTTTTTCCCGAAAATTCATTAAATAAAGAAAATAAGTCGTTAACTTTACACCGTAGTGGCGTAAAGTAAATTTACTTTACACACTAGTAAGTGCGTAAAGTAACGAACTAAAAACCAGTGCGTCAGGTGTCAAATTTTTGCTGATGCAATTTTTTGGCAGACTGCTTTACGCACTAGTGTGTAAAATACTTATTTTATGCACTAGTGCGAAAAAGTGCTACTTTATACACTGTTTTTAGTGCGTAAAGTGAGTACTTTACACACGGTAGTAGAAAACCCTTTCATGGTACATACTTAATTAACACCCTGTGTATTTAGGAGCAAGTATTAATAAGAAAATTTATAAAAATGTTTCGCCTTATTTGAAGCTATCATCATTAACATAGCCCAAAAATTTCGGTCTAGTTTTTGATTTTTAATTTTTTCTTTTTACTTTACTCTCTGTATCTCCCAAAAGTCCCAGGCGCTGAGCTGGTTTTTTTAATATTGTTTAAATACTGAATAAATGTTTTAACTGTATTTTTAGATAAGTTCAAGAACTAAATTATTAATGTCCATTGCATGTAAACGAAAAACAGGTGAATCTATGGAGAATATCCGTAGTGAATCTGGTAAAAAAAGTGGTGTTGGTGGTGTAACTGGTGGTGGTTAGTCAAGGTTTTGGTAGTTAGTAACTCGTATTTTAATGATATTTTTACAGGAAAACAAGCGAAATTAGACTTTCAAAAAGCCGAACTATCCTACAACTACCCCGAAATAAATTTGGCCAATAAGGAAAATGTGGCATTATTCCTTAATGATAACTCTAGTAGTGTAACTTGTGAAGAAAAAATTAATGACAAAGTTGTTGATAATAATCGATATGATAAAGATGAAATTTTCCATCAAGTTGCTGACGATACTATTCCACCTTTAACCACTAATAATAAAGGTGTGTCTTTATCTAACTAAATTTATGGCGGTTCAGTTTTTTGTAACTTAAGAAAATGCGTTTTATTAACTATTTTTAGATCAAACATCTGATTTTATTGAAACTGATTTGAAATTAAAGGATAGGAATCACACACCATTAGGACCCGTAGATGGTAAGTTTTACAACTTTTTTTAATAATTAAATAAGGGTAATAGTATTAAGTTGTGTACTTTTTGCAGAAAATGTTTCTCATGAGCATCCAATAATACCTAGTGATAAAGAAATAGATATTAGCGCCATCAATGATTTTATTTTGACTGATGACCTAAAGGCCGATGAGGGTTTATTAGAGTTTTCATTTAGAAGCAGTATTTTTGACGAAAGTGTTTTAAATAATTTAGAAAATGAGCCCCCGCAAATATCTCCTGAAAATTCTTCAAAAATTGTTATTCACGATATTCAGATTATTCCCCCAAGAACTGAAAATCCTCAATTAGAAAGAGACCCACCAGGTACTAACGAAAATCCTACTCTTACTAAGAAGGGTGAAATACGTAAGAGAAAAAAATACAACATTTCTTTAAAAGAACGTTTAAAACAAAAAAAAGAAAAAGCAAAAGAAAAGTTTAATTTAAAACCCCCATGTAAAAATTGTCCAAAAAAATGCAACCTTCATATTCCAGAAAATAGGAGGATTGAACTAAATAAAAACTATCAATCACTGAATTTTACAGACAGAAAAAAATTTATCCTAAGCAATACAGAGCAAACTGAGCTAAATAATACTGAAAACTCCAAAAGGTGCCGCAGCATTACATATTATTTTCAGGATGAAACTGGGAGAAGAATCAAAATTTGTAAAACGTTTTTTTTAACCACTTTAGGCTACCACGAAAAAAATGATAGATTTATTTTACAAGCTATCAGCAAAAGTGACAATCACATATCTGTTTCTTCTGACATGAGAGGTATTTACAAGGAAAATAATCATATGCATTTACTAAATTATTTATTTTTGTTTTAGGAAAATATCCTAAAACAAGAAAATTTAATAAGGATGTTATAGAAGCACATATTGAGAGCTTTCACCCATCAGTGTCCCATTATCGAAGGGAGCATGCTCCAAATAAAAGGTATCTACCAAGTGATGTGTCGATTACGTTAATGTATAAAGACTTTTTAACTAAACACCCTACCTTTTATTGTTCCTACGAGTTGTATAGAGTAGCCGTAAAGGCTAAAAATATTTCGTTCACTAAACTGGGACATGAGGAGTGTGAATGTTGTGCAATATTTGAAAACCATTGCCACTCAAAAGAAAATATTGATCCTGATTGTGACATCTGTAAGACCTATACCAAACACATAAAAAAAGCGGAGGAATCCAGAAATATGTATAGGAACGATGCCAAAATGGATCATAATAACAATTTGGAGGTCTGCTATTCCGCAGATTTGCAAAAGGTTATTATGCTTCCAAGGTTAGATCAATATAAAATTGCTCTATTTACCCCGCGAATTATTGTTTTCAATGAGTCCTTTGTACCAGTTGGAAAGAAATGTGGCTTAAAACCCATAGCTTGCATTTGGCATGAGGGTATTGCTGGCCGGAAAAAAGAAGATATCATTAGCACATTCTACTCCTTTTTTCTGGAAAACCGTGACAGCAGAATCATTACATTGTGGCTGGACAACTGTTCAGCCCAAAATAAAAATTGGACATTTTTTTCTTTTCTTGTATATATAATAAACAGTTCAGAAATACAAGCAGAAAAAATATGGGTAAAATATTTCGAACCAGGGCATACTTACATGAGTGCCGACAGTTTTCATCACCAGGTAGAACTGTCGATGAAGTATAAGGGCACCTTAAGCGACTTTAAAGACTTTAGTGATGCAGTACAGGCGGCTAATTCCGGAAAAGTCACGGTTCTTGAAATGAGAATTAATAATTTCTTTAACTGGATTGATCAGACCTCCCAGGTCAAAATTAAAAAAATGCAGCCTCGTCCATACATGACAGATATAACTATGATCTTGGCGGAACGAGGCAAACAATATTTAACTTACTTCGATAATTATAATTTAGAAGATCCTAAAACTTTATCATTTTTAAAGGCTAAACCAGAACGAGATGGGATCCCAAAACCACTGCCTTGCACTAAAGCCAGGGGCATTAATAAAAATAAGAAAGAGGGCATAATTAATAAATTGTGCCCCCTCATGGCAGAAGGGAGGCGGCAGTTTTGGTATAACATTGACGTTGATGACAATGTCAATGATTTAAATAGTTCCTTTGAATAGTTTTTTGAAAGTATTTTTATATATTTTTCTATACTTATACTTACCTGTATTTTATTCAATTATGTTATTGTTTAAAAAAATTTGGTTGTCACGGTTCGCTTAGGGAGTCCAATTTCACCCTTGTTTTTAACTATGTATTTAATGTATAGATTTTCAAATAAACACTCCCAATTCAATGGCTACATTTTTTATTAAACCTGTCCCTTTTGCCCAAAAATTATATTTTTCGTTATTATAGGTACCAAAAAATCAGCTTATTACTTAAAATAAATATTATTGGGGTATGGTTTCGCAAAATTAATACGTAAAGTTAGGTCCTCTTTTCATATATTAGTACGGCGGCATATCAAAGAATACTAGTGATAAATGCAGTAAAATGGCAACAATGCGGTACTTACTGCATTTCTTACTAGTAATTATGAAGTTATGGTGGTTACGATGCTAGGCTAAAATGCATTATCGTAAATTATTATTAGTCAAAATGACTATATATGCACAAAAAATATTCAAAAAAGTCAAAAATAATCTATATTTTCCAACTCTATTCAAATTTTTCAAAAAGTCTTATAAAAAAGCAACAAACAGTGAACAAACAGTAAAACCTATTTTCCCCAAAACTTACTTTTTCGAGTTACTGCGTTTTTCGTTAGGACGGCAGAATAATACTTGTTAATTTGGATGTAGGAAAATTATTTTTAATGTTTTTAAGCAAAGACTGGTTTAATAAATAATAATAACAGTAATAATTTGTTATACTTATTAACAACAAAATTTAAAATCATTTAATATAAACATTTTTTAAGTAGTAGCAAAATGTAAACAACAAATTAGATGTTAAAATTATTTATATTAGATCCTATTTAAAAATAATATAGTCTCTAAATTTTTTGTGTGGCAACGTTGGTTTATTAAATAATAATAATTACAGAACTAATTTGTTATATTAACAACAAATTTTAAAATCATGAAATATCAACATTTATTAATTTTCTAAGCATGCAGTGTAATGGAAGGAAAATATAAATAAAAAATTAGAAATCAAAATTATTTATATTAGGTGCTTTATATTACTATTTAAAAATAATATATTTACTTTTACTGGCATTTACTTTAAAAAATAAATGAAATATTTCTTCGCAAAAAACTACATGTAAGAGAATTAGCATAAACAAAATACAAACATCGTTAACTTTTTTTTTAATTGGCACGTGTAAAACTTTCAATTTAATTTTCTCACCCCATAGTTTGAGTTCGATAATCATTTACTTAACCACATTACTTAAATATGATTATTAAGTTCAACTAATTCATATTATTAAAACATCTAAAATACAAATATGTATTTTTAAAATTAATTGTAAGTTCATCTCATCTCTCTTAAAAATTGCTACTTCTCAAAATTACCCAATAAAAAATAGACCATATACCATATAAAATTAAATAATTGAAAGATCGGGCTACGGAAAATCACACAAATTTTCGGAAAAATTTTGACCACCTCACACGCACACAATCGTCAATTAAAAAACTACTATCTTAGTCTGTTATATATTTTAATAAACGCAAAAATAGCACACTATTTATACGGCGTAGTTATAAAAATTTGGAAGAATAACTAATAATGCACTGACGCACACAAAAATCAAACGAATACTAAATTCTAAATTTCATTTATCAAAAGCATTCGATAGTCGTGGCTCAACGATAATCATTTAGTCGCACGGCGAGGTTGTCACATATGCTTTAGTATACAAATGAATGAATGATTTTATTCGAATAAAACCATTCGATAGTTGAAATCATTCATTCAGTAACGATTCGATAGTCTAATTCATTCGATAGTTCCCATCGCTAATTTGATCTTTGGTCCCATTAGATCTTTGAAGCGGAATATCTCGAAAACTAATAATTCTACGTAAAAAATGATAAGGCCCATTTTTGTAGGTAATTAAGCTTCATTTTTTATTGAAAGGAAAATTTTGTAAATTGCATATTTTGACAGATATTTGCGAAAAATTGATTTTTCGGCCATTTACGCCCATTTTTTCGGCCGAGCACGGTGTTGCCAGATATATCAACAATTAACAATTTTTTCCCTAAAATTACTCCCCAAAAGGTACATAATATCTGAAAAGTCTTAGGTTATTTTAATCGTTATTTGCTGAACCATGTGCAATGTGCAATTTTGACTACGGAGCGAACAAGCATTACATTACAGCGCTCGGTTCAAGACAATCTCCGCCTTAAGGTTTCTCACTTCCATTTTAACAGAATTTGAAGTATTTCCAACCCCTCTCAGTCTTTCAAATCCATTCGCTTATTATTTCCGATAAGCTCTTTTCCATCTTTCGAACTTCTTCGACAACTCCTCAAAGTTCCGATTTCTGCGTGCGTGCAGGAGTGAGGTTATTCCGAGATAAATCCTATAATCTCTTTATGATTTCTTCGAGCATATTGCGGAGCAGAACGTTCCCCCGGGAAAACTTTAATGCTATAGCCAGCCTGTTTTAATAATGTGGAATTGGAGGGAATGTGTCTGCATCTTAGATTCTTATCTTCAAAAAGGGGTACGTTATTTTTCTGAATAGATTTTTGAAATATCTGATGTCTAAGCTTTGAGTGATATGCACATGGCGAACATTATCTTTACAATTTACAGGCTGAAATTTGCTATATTTTATGCTATTTTAAAAAGTTAACTGATATCAGTTAATTGCAGTGGCGGCTCGTGGATATAAAATTAGGCGAAGTCATTGTGTTTTTGGCACATTCACCATTTTGTCAACATTTTTTAAATTATTATTTGAAAATTTTTTGGTGCATTCACCATTTTGTAAACATTTTTTTGTTATTATTTATACACTAATACCTATAATATTTTCCTTTTAGTTTGGGCTAAAACGCATTAAGTAAAAAGAGATACAACCAGTTTTCCATAAACACATTATTTTGCATTCCAGTGAAAAATTAATTAAATTTAAATTAAATTTAATAAACATTATATACAGTGTCTACCATAAAGTTGGATCCATATGGACGTTTTTTTTTATCTTATAAATATTTATATCTTATATTAGTGTTTTAAAAAATCTTTTTGCGGCAGTCACTTTTCTGCTTTGAAAACAACTTAAAATGCCCCCTGGGAGCTGTCAAATACAAAATATTTAAAAGAAATTTTTAAAAATTTATGGTTAAAGTTTCAGTTGGTCGCCCTTAAGATAAAACATCTCTCTTATCTTCATCTGTCCACCGTCTGAAGGGAGTTTCTAATAAATTGCACACCAAGTCATTAATTGGGTCCATTTTTAACACATATACACACACAAAACAGTTTTAAAACACAACAACATAACAAACAGCAAAAATTAACAAGTTAAATCAACAAAAAACATTAACAAACAACAATAAATAATCAACAACAACTTTACAGTCTTTACACGGTTAATTACTCGCCGAATATTAGCATAAATGCATAAATTATGCGCCAACGCCGCCCGCCGTCACGCATTTCCTGTACAATTAAGTTGAAGGAAGACGAAGAGAACTGCCCAAAAACTCATTCACATTCGGGGCGGCTGCCGCCAGGGTGACGTCACGTTACCATGGAAACCGTGCAGCCGCTTGGCTCACTTAAATACAAAAATTTTCACTTGCACTTGTGGCTTGTGGACGTGGAAACATAGGCGCGTGCGGGCCAATAATGCCACTCTTTCGGCCGGAATTAACGATGCGGTGGACCTATTATCCAGAGGCCCGCCCGGAAAAAAAATTATAATAAATTACCATTTTCTTATTTAGATACATCTAAATATATTAAACTCAATTAATATTTTAAACAGTAAAGTTTTTTCTTTAATTTGAGTATTTTTTTCGGTGAAGTGCCCCTTCACCTACTGCACCTGACGAACCGCCACTGGTTAATTGTCTCAGTTACTTGCCTCAGTGATTGCCATTAAATATAAAAACCAACGAGAGATATCAACAAAATTAGCCCGATTACCTGGGTATTTTTATATCCCTGACTTAAATTCAGGTTATCAATAGCATTTTAATTTTATTTAAAACAAGTTAAAATATACAGGGTGAATCTTAAATAAATGCACATTATTCGATAGTCAAGAAGTAACCATCAATTTGTAGTTGGTCAAAGAATCCCTAAAGAAGCCGAACAAATTATTTTTAAAATATTAAAGAAGCATAAAATTTATTTAATTCAATGCTCCGGAAAATGCGGAAAGAGTGATAATACTTATCGGAAAATGTAATACTCTAACACCAGTAAAGATATGACGTTAACCAAAATTCTATCAATAACAATTTATTAAAGAAGGAAAACAAAAATATATTACCGTAGAAAGGCGTTTTGATTTTCAGGGCATGAAAATTCAACTATTTTTTCATGTTTCCTTTTTTATTTTTTCTAAAACGATATATGAAAATGGAAAAATATAAATGGGAATAACCATTTTAGAACAAGCACATATTTTTATAAAGTATACATTTTTCTCAAAATGTCAACAATAAAAAAGTGTTTTCTCTTGTCAGGGGACAAAGTTAAAATTTTGTGTTCCCTGGGCTCTTTATGTTGGAGAGTAAAATTATAAAATAAAACGAAAATGTCAACAGAATGTCTTTGTTTATATCAAAAATAAAAATAATAATGCAAAAAGCAACAACAACTAAGAAAAAACAAAACCAGAATATGTGCCTCTAACTTACTGCATACCAATCCTGGATCCTAAAATTCTTTTATTTGCTAATACAGCAATTTTACCTTTGTCTCCTAGACCATTCTGATGTGTTTATTTGTAAGTTTACTGTTGATTGTACGAAACCCAATATGAAAGGAAGCTCCTATTTTTAGCCATAGAATACGCTGTTTAAAGTTTATTAGACACAATTCACGACAGAGTCGGTGGTAAATAAAATGCTTTCACGCGTTTTTCTGTAAATTCGAAATTTCCGCCTGTTGAAATACGCCGATTGGAGCGCTCTAAAATAAAATTAAGGGCTTTTCAATGGGGCGCGTTTTAAAATAAATTTTCCGATACAGGGAAAGCCAATCGAATATTTCACCTGCACCTATCGGCCGATACGTGACATTTTTATGAACGGCGAGGGGAAATGGCTGTTGTATACCTACGTATTTACGTATTTTTGTAATTATTTGCATTTTAAACGAAATACCGCAGCCAGATTTTTATGTTTTGTGTGTATAGTATTTAAAAAATATGACAATTATAATATATTGAATTTTCAATAATAATATATTTAAAATATAAAAGTATTTTATAGACCATATCAAATAAACTTTTAGTCACGTGATTAAGCTGCACCGGCAGAGCGTTGCTCATTTTACATATTTTCTTTTAATCAAAATATTTTAGGAAATAAAAATAAATTATACACATATAAACAGTTATTATTGAAATCAAAAAAACTCAATTGCTTAACAACACTTAAAGCGGCGACTATACGGTAGCGACTTCCCTGCACGGTATAGTTTGCGCAAACTAGAAGGAACACTGTGCGGTGTCCACACGATGCAAGTAAGAGCGTATATTCATTATTATTTTTATCCTGAATTTATGGTTCCGTTCGTGGAAATGTCAAGTGACGAATTATTGTTTTTGTATTACTTATTGTTAAAGAAAAAAA